ATTTCTTTACACCAAAAAGTAATTTGAATTTCAAACTAAGACCATTTTATAGAACATCTCAGTTAAAATGGGGGAAAGTCTGTTATTTGTACATTTAGATAAACTGTGTAATAAAATCTATAAAAATGTATTGCAGGTTGTCTATTTGCTATAGAACCCTATTAAGTCTTAGTCCAACAGAAAGGAAAATACAAAAGGTTGGAAAGTTAAGTAAAATAGCAGAAGTATAAGCAGTCTCGAACCCCACCAAAGGTATTGAAGTTTGTTATCCTGCTAAGACTAAGAGTACTATAAAAAGATAGTTTTTTTTTTTGGGCTATCTTACTCTTTCTTCGAATATATCTAAAGACAGGGCGTTTACAGTTTAGAGAATATAATATATATTTTTTAAGTACCTGCCACAATAATAGGAAGAAACTTTTTTGGAACCGCTGACTACAAGAGCTCGACATATAATAAAAACTAAAGTAGCATTGATATCTTAAAATTGAACAATTGAAAATGCTTATTAGTGCATTCTACTTTTCATTAAAAAAACTCCAAATTTGTAAATATCATATCCTCTTAAATTAAGTGATTTAAACGTTGGTAATGATGTAATATTTTCAAGTACGTTTTCATGGAAACCGTCAATCATTTTTACGCTGTGACATGCACAATAGAGCAGTTATTTATTTAATAAAGTAAATGTATACAAAAAGTATTACACAGAATCAACATACACAAAAGTAAATATTTAAACTGTTAATCAAACTTCGACGATTTAAAGATAAGACCGAACAAAATTATAAGAAACATTTTAAAGTGGGTTGAATTTAGTGTTTATTTTTTCCGGTTTCATAATGAATGTATCTCATATTGAAAAATTATTTTCTATGTCTATTCTTGTAACCTGTTCCTCGAGCATACGCGAGCGCTGGTTTCTTATCAATACGCCAGCATAATTAAAATGAAACGTTGTATACGTCCATGTTTTCATATTTCTGTATTGTATACCCTCAGTTCTACTCGTAGGTTCAATGTTCTCGACTTGAATAGAGAAAGAGACGTCGACAAAATTTATTATGAACATGGCAGACTTTGAATTTGAATGAATGTGGTGTATAAATAACATTATCACCCACGGTAGAAGTGAACTTGTTATGTAACTACCTGGATGTTGTTCAAAAGTGTCTTTGACTTCCACAGGGTTCGTATTTTGAGCCCTTATCGTTTTTTTTTAGACAAATTAATGACGTACCTTAAAAATTAATTACAAGAAATCACGATAGTGTTCGTACACTTATATTTCGAAACTGTCAGTTGCAGGCACCTCTACAAAAATTGCATACATGTTTACATCTGGCCGATCTCTATTATTAAGAAATAATTAATAGAAAGCAAAAACCAACTGGAAAGATGAAATGACCGACTTTCTAACGGGGAATCAGGTTGAAAGTTGAGAATTACTTCAGATGCAGTGACAAAATCGGTAACAGCGAATAGATTCCTGGTTTTTTCGGAATCAGATATTGATTCGATTAGATTCATTTTAAGCGAGATCTCGAAAACGACTGTTTTTCCTTGCATTGTACAAACTCTTTCTTTGTTTGTTTTACGTCTCAAATTCCCGAATGATAAAGTTTTTAAAACAAACATTCGTTGGAGGGAGATAATGCACTACTTCTTTATTCTTTATTACTTGCCCGATGAAATTAGTCTATTGTCTTCGAGGTACCACGCAAATTTCAAGAAAAAAGAGCAAGTGAATTGTTAGAAATGGTGCCGGAAGCAAAACTGAAGGAAAGGAAAGTCAAGAGGAGTTTTTGCTTCTCCTGTGGATGGAAAGTTCGAGACAATTTCTTCGAAAAATAATCTTTTATTTCAGCTTAAATACAGTGAATACCCGATAGTCACGTGTACCAACTGAAGAAATGAAGAAAGGGACAAGTTATAAACCGATGATGTTTCGATGATACAAGCTTATGACAAAATGGAGAACAGTTTTTTGTTGATATTAGAATCATCTGGTTATTTCTATGCAACTAATATATCCCAATAACATCTATTTGCGATTTATTTTTTATTACAGGATTTCGTCCGGTTTTAAATATATGCGACACCATAATCCCTTGTTGAAAAGACTTTGTGAACTTAAAAGACCTGCAATTATCTGATAAGCGATATATTCTCTCCCATATTTTCGATCAAATCAAAGAAACACACTCGGTAATCAGTTCTATATACAATTATTGTTTTATTACTGTTATTAGTGCGATTATATTTACTGCAGTCTGAAGATAGTAAACTATAAAGGAATAGAAAACCGTGAAATATCTATGTAATTGCTGTTATAAATATAAAACGAAAATGGTATGTTTAAATGAGCAGTTATTTCAGTAACAGTCAGAGATTTATTTCAATTTATAGAATTTTGTAGTGGTTTGTCTCCACCGTACCTCCATCAAACTCGTTCTTAAAAGATTTTAGTGCATATTGAATTAGCTAGGTCTATTCAGCCACTGCTGTGTGAATCAAGAGATGTATTTTGTATCGCACAAGCACCTTAAATCGAGTAAAATTGTACGAATTAGGTCACTCACCAGAAGCGTTCGAAAAGAGATAAATTTTGACATCACCTTTAAAATTGTGCACAAGAAAACCCACACAACGATACACCCGTTCGATCATTTATCATTTCGGTGTAGATAAGGATAAGCGGAGACATTCTGGCTAATACTAAACAAACATACGTTGGGAAAATGTTAGTTTAAAACAGTATTATTAAAAAAATGATCAAGTTATCACCTCTATCCGATCTAATACAGTCTAGTCACTCACCATAAGAGAACGGTTGACACAATGGATCCGACCAGACAGGAACGATTTACTTACACTTGAAACAAAGGAAATCAATTGCACAAACACAAGTTTTAGGTGTTAGGTAACTTTGAAATCGCTCGCGAAAAATCACAATTTAGTGCACGTTCTGTATGTGACGTCAGGCTGTGCAGTTTGCGGCTCGAGTAATTTTTCGTAAATAAAACAACAGGCAATGAAACGTTTGGAGCTATCGCGCATTTTTCGTAGATACCGTATCACAATGACAATACTTATTAACGATAATAATTAATGTATTATTTTAAGTAGATATAAATGATAAATATAATTGGAATGATCTCTTGCGATTTGCGAAGATGCTGGCTGATTTAACGTTCGATTTAAATTAATCACAATATGCCATCAAAAAGTATTTGACAGCGATACCAATAGTGCCCTGGAATAGTCATTGGTCAGGTACAGTCAGAAATATGTTGATACTTTATTAGGCACTTGTCACATTTGAGCCATTTGGGGGTTTAAACCAGCAAAATTTTATAGGTTGGGGAATTCGCGGTGAATTTTGCAAAATTCAAGATGGCGGCCGACCAAATTTTCAAAAAATAACATATTCGCGCCAAATTTGGTATGCGGGGGTTTTCGAGGTGACTGATCACGAATCCGAATCAGATTTACAAAATTTAATCCGTGAATAGATCTCTTACAGAAAAAAGAACAAGATATAGCCGAAAAAAGTAGGTTAACACATGATTGGGTACTCAGGTTATACAGTAGAATATTCCAAAATGAATTTCGCAATTCTGACCTCGAATACGTAATCAACGACCCCGAAAACCCCCGTATACTAAATTTGCTGCGATTCTGTTATTATTTGAAAATTTGGTCGGCCATTTTGGATGCGCCATCTTGAATTTTGCAAAATTGACCTCGGATCCGTAGTCAGCGACTCCGAAAACCCCCGTATACCAAATTTGATGCGAATCTGTTATTTATTGAAATTTTGGTCGGCCATCTTGGATCCGCCATCTTGAATTTTGCAAAATCGAGCTCGGATCCGTGATCAGCGATCCAGAAAACCCCCGTATACCAAATGTGGCGCGAATCTGTTATTGTTTGAAAATTCGTGATATATGACCTTAATCGACCCGTTTTTTTTGAGGTTAGAAAAAGAACCAATAATTCTGACCGCGGATTCACGTTGGGCGGGGTCTTAACTAAGCACTTTTTCATGAATTTTTGCTAGGTTTTCCCCGTTTTTGAGGATAGGAAATTTCTGTGATGTGATCTCGTCTGAGTTCTGTTTCTCACTTAGAAATTCTCAAGAAATATATCAAGAAATTAAAAGTGAAATTTCACTGTTTTGTGCGCTATCAAGCAGGTAGGTGTTACAACCAACCAGTCGGCAAGAATACCCTTTCTGTGATTCCTAATAAGATTGCACAGTTTCTGAAACTAGAACATCCTGAAACATATACAGGCCATTCATTCCGAAGAACATCGGCAACGTTACTGGCTAATATTGGAGTTGACGTATTAGCAATCAAGAGACATGGTGGGTGGAAATCAGCCACAATTGCATAAAGTTATGTTGCTGGCAGTTTAAGTAACAACAATGAAATAGCCAACAGGATTCTTTACAATGACACTTCAACTCCAGGTTCTAGTTGTACGTAGCATCATGCTGTTTTAATGGATCAGTCAGATAATATTGAGCCTCCGGTGACTGAAATGGAGCGGTCAAATCATTTTGTTCAACAAACATTTTTATTTATTTGTTCATAAAATATGCATTTATAACCCGAAACCGCTTTTTCCCTAAGGAGGTAAGTTACCTCACCTCCTGTTGTCCTTAGCAACTTCCACTTCTACGGTAAAATCCACTTACCTCCTTAAAAACAATGCATTAATAGTCTATTTACTGTAGTGGGAGCAGATAAACTTTATTAGACATTTGATAAATTTAAGATCTTAAAACTACCTCCTTTCTAATGTCTCAAAAACCATATAATGCAATCTGTTTGCAATCTTCCAAGGCACATATTTGGTTAATTTTAAGTCCCGGATTAAAAAGTTTTCCGTCCAAAGTAAAATTAAACAACCTAATCCCCGTATTTGCCGTGGGATATCGCCCTGCTACTCCGCAATCGTACTGTTTACACTACTATCATTATCTACCTCACCTGTAATCTCGAGTCGACCAGCGGTTGCGATATGGACAACGATGACGAACTCTGCGCCGCGTCCAGCTCCATATCGGACCCTGAATTAGGTGAATGGAAGACGCTGTCGTGGGACACACTGAGTCCCGGGTGCATGGACGACGAACTTCTGGAACGGGATCACTGGGATTAGCTTTAACCATTTGATTGACACTTGGATGGGCTCTATAAAACTATCTAATCTAATTTAATCTGTAACAATAACTTGCAAATCCCTGGTCGAGTGGTGTTTGGCGATGGAAATTTGTTTAATTTCGCAATTGATTGTTAAGATAAACGTATACACAGCCGTGAATTATGAAATTATAAGATCAAGTTGTCTAGTTCAAATCCGTCATTGATCTTGTTAGTTACAGATGCAGTACGTGGTGGCGCTCTGGACAGTTTTTGGATATAGGGATATAGCTCGAGATATAGTGATATAGTGGCGACAGTGGTGTCAGAGCATCTTGATTGGTGGCGAATGTCAGACTTAACGTTTGGACACAATATAGTATATCTCTTTTAAAAGTAGGTTGCATGAATGTTTCATATACATAGTAACGCTAATTTTTGTTGGAAACAATTCTAAATATTATGTAGAACGATAATTGTGATATGCGTCCGCTGAAAAAGTTGTGCACAATTGTTAGCGCAAGAAAATGTGAAAAAAAAAATAAGAAAGGCGAATTTTTCTCCCTTCTTTCATGTATAACTCGGAGAATATTGACATTAAAGGAAATAGTCAAAGGAAAAAAAGTTTCGTTATGAGAGTCTCTTCAAAATAAAAGTGGTCCGAAATTTTTTTGTGCATTATTGTTACTGCAATACAGTATAGACCGAAAAAATCGTGAAAGATGTTTTTTTATAAATTTATTTCGGACCTTGACTTTAGAGCAGCCATATAAAAAATATGGTTGAGTACTTCATGATATAGTAGTATTGCGGAAATTTTTTCATCGAAAACGGCTGGGTAAATTTCTCACAATTCAATTGTTAATTAAGAAAATACAGAATTATACTTATTTTTTCAATCCTCTCGCACGGTAAAACCAATGATTATTTTGAGCTCCCAATTTTTGTACATACCCTTTGGAATCTAAACATCAATCCTCATTTAAAAATTTATTTCAAAATATAACGTACATTTTTTATTGATATTAATTGAAACACGTTTTATTTTAAAACAAATTTTTATTATAATAAACAAGTTTTATTCTAATTTACGTTTCTTCGACTGAGAATTTATGTCTGTTGAAATTTCTGTAAAAGCCTCGTCAAACTCTAACTCTTCATCTTCAAACGTAAAATAACAAAGCTTTTGACAGTGATAAAAATTTATGAAAGTTATGATTAAAAATGATCATTATGATCATATTCGAGAAATATTATATTCAAAATAAATGCTAATCTTGAAATTAACAATCGTATTTAAGAATTTATCTCAATGGAAAACTATGTAGTTTTTGAAAAATAAAAGCTTTGTATTTTTTTTTAAATTTGAAAATTAAACTGATCTTTATTTTGCATATGAATTTAAATTGAAAGATTTTTTGTATCAACATGTAAAATTTTGTTTTTGAATTTTGTAAAATTCGAATAGATCTTACTTTCCTCAATTAAAAAAAAATCATCTATTTATCTGTTGTAGAAGCTGAAAAAAAGTCGATTCAAATCTTGAAATTTTTTTTGCGTCAGAACAATAGAATACACTTCCCATTTAAACAAATTTTCTTAGTTATAAAGTCTTTGCTTCAAACAATCAAAATCACTTTTGATTGTTATTATACAGTACGTTGTTTTACCGTAAACTCACTTCAACTCTGAGCTTTCATATCTCGATGATATCCACAAGATCAAAAGTGAATTTTGTTCGTCAATCCTTCCTCTATTTGATCCTATAATTACATTTGAAGAATATGCAAATAGGGTAGCTCCAACTCTAAATGCCTATAAGTATTTTTTCGAAGAAATTTTGAAAAAATTCTAATTGTTGCTAAAATCGATAAAATCGAATTTTTTTGAATGGGGTTGATAGTTGAGATTCCAAAAGGTATGTATAAAAATTGGGAGCTCGAAATAATCATTGGCTTTACCGTGAGAGAGAATTGAAAATTTTTGGACCATTTTTATTTTGAAGAGAACCTCAAAAAGAAACTATTTTCCTTTGACTATTTTCTCTAATGTCAATATTCTCCGAGTTCTACATGAAAGAATGGGGAAAAATACGAGTTTTTATTTTTTTTTTAAATATTTTCTTGCGCTAACAATTGTGCACAACTCTTTCAGCAGGCGCATATCGCAATTATTATCCTAAATAATATTTAGGGGTTTACGAAAATTAACTCGCAGTGATCTAGACATATCGTTTTCTCTCTCTAAAACCCTAAGAATTACAAAAATAAAGATGGTGACCTGAGCACTCGAAGTGAATTTTCGAAAACGCCTAATATGTTACCTATATAATTATTTTGCTAGGAAATTTTTGCCACTTGTCAAGATAAAATGAATTTTTCAACATTTTGGTTATATTTTGATTTAAATATATAATGCCAACCGTGTTTATGATAAAAATCTTAAGCATGAGTTAAATTGGTCTTGATTCCTTTGAAATTATTGACTAAATTTATAAAAAATTGAATTGTGTAAAACACTTGTTAATATTTTCAATAAACTTATTAATTTCTTCATCAGTTTCTTTAACTGTAAAACGATAAATAGAAAAAAACGATTGTCATTTATAGTTTTGCATAAACTTCCTTCTCATAAATTATGTTAAACATTACATCTACGTTTTATAAATTATTCCCATTATAATGAAACGTTATCGACCAACTTTTAAGCGATTAGATATGGACTCAACAATGCTAATAAAAGCAAAGTGCATTGTCAAAACTTAGTGTTTTTGGCAAATGTTATATTACATTATCTGTTGATGTTATCTGATAATTTTTTTCCTCTTGCAGTTTATTTAACATAAAATATATTAAATATTGAAAATAAAGGATGTTTTATTTTATTTGTATGGGTGATTAAGAGAGATTGCCCCACAACTTCTTCATTTATTTCGAAAGACAAGCAAATTGTGTATAGCTGAAACAATTATTAAACATACTTTTGACAAGGGGACCCCTTTGGTCGACGCCCATGGTCACACTGTCCGCAACATCCGCTTATATAATGATATTACCGCGGCATCGCTTAAATTTATACCTACATTGTCAGACGACGTTAAACGCTATAGTTAAATACGCAAGGCCTTAGCGTAAAGATCGTAAAAAGGATAGTATCAAGCCCATTTCACACTCACCTCCTCCTGACGTCATCGGCGACAGACAGCTCGCTCGTAGACCGGCTACGCAGAGCATCCTTCCCGATTTCGGTAACTTCGACAGGCGCAACATCTTCGGTGACCTTGTTCTTCCTCTTGAACCACTTCTTGGGGTTCCAGAACCTCCTCTTCGACGCCACTGCAAACCGAAAATTACATAAAATGAAATCACCAATCTACTTGCTCGCTACAACATAAAACTTATGAACAATTAACACAATTACGGCACAGACAATTAAATCCGGGGCAATTAGAGCGTTACCGCTTGCGATTACCGAGTTTCAGATTAAAATGCAACTGGCTGGGTAGTTACCGAACGAATACTTCCTCTTGTTCCTCATCTTTCGGCGGAGCACATCCGATGACGGGTACAGGTTCGACGTGGGAGGGTCGATCATGAATGCATATTGTTACGGCCTTTTGTCACCACACAATAAACCGACGGTAGGTCACGGTTGCGAAACAACTGACCGAAATGTGTCGTTCGACTGGCTACTTTTTTTCCCTGCTCGCCGCTCAGCGACCATTCGCTGTTATCGTCAATTTCAAACTAAATTCGCTGGCATCGCGCGAATATGATTTTCAATTCGCGAACGATCAGCAAAAAGCGAGAAAGCTTAGAAGAGGAAATTCTAACACCGCACGGCTCGTTAGCCGATCATGTCATTTATATAAATCCGACTTATTTTTTTTTGTGGTCGGCCGACTGTTTCCATAATTCACAGAATTCTGGTGTATTTGCTTGCAGTACAATAGACTATTTTTGTTTCACAATGAACAGCGGCGCCGTTCTATATAGTTCGCACTTCAGTGTAGAGCGACCACAGCAACATTATAATACAACTAGACCACGTAGGCCGTACAAAAAATATGTTTGCATATAATTTTATGTAAAAAATTGACTCTGCACGGTTTTAATCAGTCATCTAAGACACAAAATTAAAGTGACAAAAGCTTTGGTAGCATATCCAATAAAATACAGGGCACTAAAAGTGTACACTTCATTCAAATGCAGTGAATACACCCAAGTGCGATCGAACGTCTACTCCGATATCTCAGTTCTGTAAACGGAGCGACCAGTATGAATCACGACCACTAAAGCGTACTAAGGCCGTCCTTGCTTATTTAGTGGGACAGAAGCATCAAGGCTATCCTGAGAGTTTCACAGGACAGGTCCAGAAAACCAAACCGGAAAACCAAAAACAGTTTTTCCGAATTCGTCGATCGAATTCTAACTTGAACTAAATAGTAGGACTGTACAGCGCCAATTTACTTTTGCGGTACCAATGTATTTTAAAAATTGACGAAAATAGAAGTTATTACGATTCAGAACATTGTTAAAATTTGTTGCGAGACCTAGACCAGCCTTATAGCATCCAATCCTAATAGTCCAGGCGATAGGGTAGTAAAAGTAGGCTTTGGCGTTTGTGGGCCAAATAATATGTAGAATAAGAATCCTTTGTTTGTCTATTCCAAAAAACCATTGCTAAATTGAGGGGAACAACAAACATACAAAAATAACGGAAAATTACCCGTTTTTCGAGATATTTTCCCCTGTAACATTGAAAGTAAGCCCTTAATAAAAAAGTCATTCTTTATTTTTTGTTTATTTGGCGATTTTCTATATCTGCGAATAAAAAAAATTACATTTTGCATTAACAATGGACAAAAAATAGTAGAAAATCATATGCATTTGTTGTAGCAATTTTTAAGATAAGTAAATATTTATAAATATTGATGAAACTTTGTATACGAATGTCAATTCTACCCTAAAAATTTAGCAACGATCGATCGCGTAGTTTTCGATTGACAGGATTGTTAATTAAGAAAATTTCAAAAAGTTTATCGCGTACTGTGGGTTTAAATTAAGGTTTAGAAAGGGCACACAATTTTTTATACACTTGTCATAATAAACAATAATCAATACTAAAAATACCTATTTTTACACTTTTATAACCATTTCAGAATTTTTTTAATTTTTCAATATTATACTCTATACAATTATTTATTGCCCAGGGAAATTTCTATGCAATCGACAAAATCTTGCACACATAAAAACTACGTCGTAACCCCTTGCTTTTTAGCCAAATACGACAGCATTCTACTGGTTAGATTCTGAGATATGTATAGAAGCGTAAAGCTTTCAATTTATCAATCAAATTTTGTCTGACATTTGCATTATTAACAAAATTAATTACTTTTCTCTTGGTTGTAGGAAGTTTTTCTTTTGCTTCTCAATCAAATCATCACTGGCATCTTCTCCACAGATATAACAAAGTTTTTCAAAGTCAAAATCTGCACCAGTCGAAGTGCGTGTACCAGGAACCACTAGGCAACTTTGCTAATTTTTTTTCAACTAATTTTCTTAATTCCTGTTAGTCGAAAACCACGCTATCGATCGTTGCAAAATTTTTAGGGTAGAATTGACATATGTTTTACTACTTGTTCAGAAAGTTTCATCAATATTTATAAATATTTACTTAATTTAAAAATTGCTTCAAATATACATACGATTGTCTACTATTTCTCGCCCATTGTTAACGCAAAATTCAACTTTTTTTATTCGCAGTTGTTGTAGCTTTATACAAAATCGTCAAATAAACAAAAAATAAAGAATTACTTTTTTTTATTTAGGACTTCCAATGTTATAGGGAAAATATGTCGAAAAACGGGTAATTTTTCGTTCTTTTTGTATGTTTCTTATTCCCCAGAATTTAGCAATGGTTTTTTGGAACAGGCAAACTCGGATTATTATTCTGCATAATATTTGGGATTTTTCTGTACAACAAAATAAATGACTTCAAATACAAACGCCTCGAATGCTCTACTGCCCGGACTATAAGACTTTCTGAGCCTGTGGCAAATATTCTAAGCGATAAAACCATGCATTTTTCCATTAGTATTGGTACCGAAACTATAATGAACAGCCGTGTAGTACCAAAATACAGCATTATAAAATATTTTATCCCAAAACTAAACTGTTATTGAATTCTGGTCGGCATTTCTAAACATACTGTACAATTCAGTTTTATCAAATCGAAAGCGCACTAATTGCAAATGTGTGTAAATTAAAACGACTGATACGATATAACCAGATTAACAAGAAATTAGCTACCGAATGTTCGTAATATCAATGCCCGTATCTACATACAAAAGGTAGGTACATTATGATATAGATCTCAAAACATGAGTACTATGTTGTTCAAAGGTTCGACCTTAAATGATACTAGATCACCTTAAACAAACTTTATTCAAAATCTGCTAGGAAGGAAAATTAATCTACCTTTTAAATATTTTAGTTATAATCTCAGCTCCCACTGCATCAATGTCGAAACTATTCGAATCAAATTTCTATTTTTATGCGGTTATGTGCGGTACTTTATAACAATACAGGTTTATGTAACGCGATTAGATTAAAAAAATAAAAATTTTGGAATGTACCTATAGCGCAATCTATTCATTGTGAACACGAATTTATCTGAAAAATTTGCGTTATTAAATGGTTAAAATATTTATTATATCGAAGGATTAGCGTTTTTAACCAATAAAAGGATTAAGAGTAAGTCTTGCACATTTATTTTTAAACCATATTTATATGTTCTAAAGACTAAACTGATTAAATCAACTAATGGCAATGGAATCCAACATAAAACCAAAAATAGCACGCTTTCCGGTCTAGAAAATAAAAAATAATCACCAGGATTCGACTGGGACTGTAAGGAAAACGGTTCTACTATAAAAACACTGCTACAAAGTTCGTTCTCAACAACAACACCGCTTTGTTCCGTTCTGTTCAAGTTCATCAACTCCTCCAATAGCAACGTTCTCTTGACTATCGATAACAAAATGAACAAAGGAAGATCCTTACTATCACCCCGCTTGGTACCAGTGTTACAAATTCTGCGTTTTAGACAGTTAAAAAATAAATCACAAAAGAAGTCCTTACTCACCATGACCACTAGTTACCTGAAGGCTGACAGTCACGGTATAATAACCATGTGTCCTTAGCATACCCATTTCGAACCCGTACTAAACGAATGACTGATAAATAAAATTCGATATTTTCATTTATCGCCATCAAAATCGCGATCGGTGTATTGCTTTGTTAAATACAGCTGTTTACATCAAGATAAGTCCCATTGTCTACTCTAGATTTAGGTGTGCCATATGATGTTCGTTTGAGAAAGGACGCCATTGACGTACATCTTTTCAAAATTTGGTCTAGGACTCATTATTATTATAAATAAATTAAGTTATTTATGTACCAAGGGAGATACAGGGATAAATATATGGATAAAAGTGACTTATATGACGTAACACACGAGTGCCATACAAAATTTTATCCAACACTTTCGTTTTAATAATAAATAAAAGTAACTTAAAATTTCAAGTTGTCAAAGTCAGAAATAATTTAACGAAATGAATGTATTGTTAAATATTACAGAGGATGCGAGTGTCAACCTAAATTGTGTCTGTAACCAGGGTTGTCAGTAAACAAATAATATTTTTTGAGTTGAAATCACGTTGAAATCCTAAAACCAAGACCGAAAAAATGGAAAATGTGGAAATTTCATCTGAAATTTTAGAAAAAGCTAATGCGGCTACTGCAGGCATCATTCCGGAGAAATCAAAATCTATATACAACAAAGAACTGAAGGAATTTCAAGATTGGAAAATCAAAGAAGAGGTGAAAGGCGTAAATGGAGATGTCTTGCTGGGTTATTTTTTCAATTTAAGTGAGAAATTAACTCCATCCACATTATGGATTAAATATTCCATGTTGAAGTCAACTTTGAGAGTTTACAAGAACATTGAAATTTCTAAATTCGGAAGAAGTGGCATTTCTAAAGTAAGCACAAACATTTTCAACCAAAAAAATCCAAGGTCTTAGAAAGAGAACAAATCGAACAAATTTTGTGTGAAGCCCTAACGAAGATCATCTTAAAAATAAGGTAGGTTCTACTGAATAGTTTAACTGAGTTATATTTATTAAATTTGTTGTTTTTAGATGGCGTTGATATTAGTTTTTGGCGCTTGCCTTTGCGAGGAATTGACCCATCTAAGCATAGACAATATAGAGGACAAAGGGCAATATATCCACATCATGATTTCAAATACTAAAACGAACAAACCAAGAAA